GGGGGTATCAGCTCAGGCCTCTTCCCATAGCTCTCCAGGGCTGGGCAGAGAAAGACCGCTCTGGGCAGTTGGATGTAGCAGCTCCCACAGAAAGGGCACCGGGGCAGGCACCGTGGCCCCCCAAGAAATCAAGAGCCATCCTGACCCCTAACGTGCTCTCAGGAGGAGGAGGAGGCTCCGGGGGACACAAAGAAGCAGAGGGAGCACTAAATGCAGCAAGCTGGAGCACAGAACACGTGACAGGGAAATAAGGGGAAGCTGGTGATAGAGTCATCTCCAGAAGATTCCGAGGCTCGCTTTAATGAGCAAGAGCTCATTTATCGGTGTGGTATGAACACGGCTTTGCTCAGCCAAAGCAGAGGCCGGACGGGTGCAGAGAGCTGTCTCCAGACACACGCGGTCCTACCCGGGCCACAACAGGTGGCCCCGCGAAGCCACGGCGCATCCACTCCAAGCTCCCGCGTGAGGCCCTGAAGCCCAGCCTCGCCCGCTGCAGGGTGCAGGCCGTTCAGAGAGCTCCGAGTGCTCATTCATTCGTGGATGCTCTTATCCCAATTAAGCCACTCAAAACTTTTGAAGTTCATGAGTCATTTGCTTCAAATGTCTTTAAATTAAGGACAGATTCACTTCCCTGGTAGCAAACACCCAGCAAGTTAATTAAAAGGGGCTCAGCATTTAAACCACCATCGTTGCTTCAAACAGAAGGAGAGAGGCACGTTTCTCCCGCCACAGCTGCTCACTACTCCCTTCCTTGCCCATCCCGGCACTTAGAAGAGATTTCCTAGCTTGACACTTGCTCTGTTGTCCGGGCCGGCTGACCATCGGTGTGAGGGAAGAGGACACCAGCCTGTCCCCTGTGCTCACAGTGGGACAAAGCAACTTGGAAATCATCCTCGCAAACGCGTGAGTGAATTCCAACATAAAAATTACCAGGCAGGGCTGCGATGACATGTGAGCCATCTCCTCCTGGAGCTGCCTGGTGTCACGAATACGTGACTGATCCAAATGGGGACAGATCCTGAATGACAATGGAGACCTCACCGGGCTTGTTAGCCCCTCCTGGGTGATGCACCTTCGAGAGCTATGAACACGGATGCTGGGGAAAGCACCAGAAGTATCTGAGCAGGCTGGAAAATCTCAGGGTCTAGGTGGCAGCAGGAAGGTCTGAGAACATCAGGTTGAGGAACTTTTTAATGAGCACTAGCTGTATGCCAAGCACCCACAGCCTAGGAGAGCGGCAGTGGGCAAGTGCAATAACGAAAATCAGCTGGCTTGAATTCCCCACAGCTCCCTTTACGAGTTTTAAGATTAAAGCCCAGGAAATGACTTTGTGTTTTTCTCCCAGGAGACTTTGTGACTCCAGACTCAGAACATGACCAGCAAGAGAGCTGTCACAGGAAAATGGTGCTTCGCTGTGGGGAGCCCTCCTCTCTCGACCTCAGGTGAACTTCTGCCCCATCTGACACTCACCCTCTGCCAGCACCGTGTGAGGCTGAAGCTCAATGCCTCGGTGAACCTGAGCCAGGTGATTTTCCATCCCAAGCAGTTCCTAGCTAGTGCCATCTATACCTCTGCAAAGAGCACCAAGGTCAGGGATGAGGATGTGGGACTTCATCAAATGACCTCATCAAATGACTTCATCAAATGACCCTAGAATGGAGCAGTAAAATGTTGCAGCAAGCTGGGTGGTAGATCGTCACAAGGATAACAATCATTATTCCCATCGCTATCACCATCCTCACCAGCGCCATAAGCATCATCACCATCACCACCATGGCCATCATCATCATCTTCACCGGCATCACCACCACCATCATCACCATCACCAGCATCATCATCATCACCGCCATCATCATCACCATCATCACTATCATTATCATCACCAAATTAACAGCAGCAAACATATAACGAGCAGCTATTACATTCTAGGCATTGACCACCTGGCATATACTGTCTCGGTGAATCTTTACAACATTATAAAATGGTTAATTCTGTAATTCCTACCGAGGCGCACAGAGAAGAAAAGCAAGTTGCCCAAGTTCGCACAGCTAATACAAGATGAAGCCAGGAATTTGAAGGCAGGCATCTAACCCACTACACGAAAACTAGGAGGGGCTTCCCAATCTCTTCACTTACAGGGTGGTCCCTGGGAGAGGGTCTGTTCCACGACGCCAGGAGCTGTTCCATTTAATGTTGGCTCCTGAGGGATTTCAGAGCGCCCCGAATCTCCAGCCGTCTGTTCTTCTATTTTTCTATGACCACCAAAATCTGTATTCTGGACGGGCAGGCAAATGTAACGTCGCCCTTCCAAACATCTCTCTACAGAAGCAAAAATAAAAACTCCCAACTCCCCCACACCTGATTCCAAACATGCCCCTCTGGCCAATGGAACTGGCCTGACAAATTCTTCACATCACTTCCCCAAACTTCACTTCTGTCCGTCGGGGTGACCTCAGCAGCGCGTAGGCAGAGCTGACTGTGTCTGAGATGAGAAGACCTGCCACGTCCCTGGTGGCCTGTTCCCCCTTGACACTTGTCAGCTTCCCCCGGGAGGTACTCTTGCTGGGTATAGAAACACCTGGCCTGTGTGCAGGGTCCTGAGCTCATGCTTGGTGTTGACGTACTGAATCTCACAACAATCATTTGGAGGAGATATTTCTAAGATTTAACGTTTTTGGTGAAGAAAACAAAGTCACGAGAGGACTGCCCCACGGTCACACAGCTCCATGCAGGAGAGCCCAGATCCACGGGCGATCTGAGGCCTGGGAGCACATATTGCTAATCGTGCATGGCACGCACAGCCTCCTGGACCCCCAAGCCCACGCTTGCAGCCTGAATTCTGCCTGAGAAGCGTGAGCAGCAGTCATCTCCACAAAGAGTCGGGACCCCAGGCCCATGTCTGGTGACTGCCAGGCCAAGGGGATTCGCAGGGTTCCCGCCTGGGCTCCGAACCTGGCCTCGGGCCACGTATGCAGGGCCAGCTGGGCCATAACGCACCCAGTTCAAAGTGTCACCTCAGCACTTCCTGTCTTGCCTTGCTTGGCTGGAATGCCTAAGGCCGCTGGCACCCGTTCCCAGCATCCTGCATCACTTCCCAGAATTAACATTTCTCTGCACTAAAAGCAAACACACATATTCCCCCTCCCTTGAAATTTGTTTTGCTAAACAAATTAATCTAGCACCAGATTATATTGTGAAGAACCATAAATCTTTTCCAAGATAAGCATCTGTCGATTTGGATTACCAACATCCAATGTACCGCGAATTAATCTGCTGAGCCTTCTGACGCTGTCCCAAGCATCTAACTTTTAGTAAGAACAAGCGTAATCTGGAATAAACAGGCAAACGTCCCTTCGTCCGTGCCTCTATGGTAAGTGACGTACGTGAAGGGCATGACGGCAAACGCAGGCAGCACCACATTCTGTGATGATGGGGCTTTGTGAGTTTATTGAGATAAAAACAAATGCTTCGTAAACTGCTTTTGGGTGCCCGGCACAGACACGACGAGCTGAGGGCTGCGTGTCCATAGTTTCTGGACAAAGGCAGCCTGGGAGGTGGCCTGTGACAGCCAGCAGACCTTGTGCCCGGGGCTCCAAGCCCACAGCCTGCGTCCTCGGGCCTGGCCCCGGCCCTTGGCTTTGAGACGGAGTTGGGGCTGCTGTGTTGCTCTCTAGGGAAGAACTGCTCAGAATAAAACCTTCAGTTCTCTGGTCCAGGTGAAGGCAGGAAGTAGGTCAAGGAACAAAAGCCACCCACTCGTGAAAACCTATCCGCGTCCTGACCAAGGCCAGAGCTACAGGAAAATCACCTATGCTGCCGACAGACCCTGAGGAGCAATTCTCTTCTGCCCCGTGGGGCCTGAAGAGCACCCACGTGGGGCCTGTGGAGCCCAGGCCCTTAGGATGTGGAGAAGCAGGCAGATGGGGGGCTGGAGGAGGCCCCGTGCCACCCTACCCCTTCGTGCTGACGCCCTGCAATTTGCATCCTGTTTTACTAACTAGCAAATACTGCTGCTTGTCCGGGACGTGCATGCACAGGTCCGACCTGTGAACACCCTGATCCCGGTGGCCATGGGGCTGTGGCCCTCACAGAGCCTAAGGGAGCTGGAGGCAGGTAAGAACACGGGGGTCCCCGAGTCTGCACTCTCCCTCAGCTGGCCAGGAAGCTGGGTGCATGCCTGATGCCGTGGGCAAGCTGTGGCCGGGGGGTTCTCAAGGGCCGGAAAAGGAGGCGCAGGAAGAGAATGAAAAACAAGACTACGTCGCGGTAGATACTTGAAGGCCAAGAAATGGTAACCGTCCGAAGGCACCGGGGATAACGGGCGGGGGAACCAGGGCCGTGTCCCCCAAACACCTGCTCGACTGTCTCCAGGGAAAAGACGCTCCCCAACCTGAATGGGTCTGTGGGACCTCCACTCATGTCGCAGTAAGTTCTTCCTGATACCTGACCTCAATCTCTTGGGCTGTTTGGAGCGATCCCTTATTCTGGGCCAATCCAGCAGCCATCCCTCCGCAGGGCTACACCCTGAAGGTTTTTGGAGACTCTAAATGGGCCCCGATTCCATCAGCAAGTGCGCCCGCGTCTCACTCCCAGGCTGGCCCGGAAGCCAAGGCCCTACCATTGGGAGAGATGTGGGTACAGTGTGCCTGGCACGACCGGATGCCCCGAACCCAGGGAAGGCGGGCATAACATCCCCTTCGGGGCCACTGCTAAGGAGAGACCCTCTACCGTCCCCCTTCTCCCAGCAGAGCGGCGTGGCTACAGCACAGCCCCGATCTGCAGGGCACACAAGTCCCCGCGTGGACACACATGCCCCCTTCTCCCCAGGGCCACCGCTTGTCAACACTCTGCCATTGTTTTTGGGTTCCGCCGCTGAGAAGCGGGGAGTCCCGCCGAGTCGTGTCCCCCAGGCAGAGCTGGGCATCCTTCGGAAGCCACACCCCCAAGGTGCCCTCCCTCCCTCACCGACCGAACCCCAACCAGAAAAGAGGTGGGTGTACCTGAGGTCTCCCCCAGAATTCGTGGGGGCTTGACGTCTTCGCCATTGTCTCTGCTGGGACTGGTGGGAGGGTCCGTTGTGCTAACCCCAACCGGGATCCTATCCCTGGGGCCCGGGGGCTCGGCGGCCCCCTTAGTCTGCAGCGTCACAGAGGTGGCCGTGGGGCCCGGGGTGGCGGTGGTGGCGATGGCCATGGTCGTCTTCCGTGTTTGTGAGATGGAGGCCGTGGTGGGGCCGTAAAGGCCTGGAAACGTGTTGGACTCCGGGGCCTCCTCCTCCCCCGTGGGCCCCCAGGCGATGAACTCCGTCTCCGTGGTGGGCCTGCCGCCCCGGAAGTCAAAGCTGTTGAAGCCGGCCCCCTGCACGTGCCGTTTCCCCCTCCGCAGGAGGGCCTGCTGCTCCGAGCCGGCCGCGCTGCCCGCCGTGGGCGACGGGGACGAGGAAGAGCCGAGGGAAGGGCTGGGTCTGGCCGCGGCTGGGGGCTTGGCGAGCCCCCCTCTGGGCACCAGGGCGGCCACCTGGTCCCTGGGTCTGTGCGCCCGTTTGGCGCGCGGGCTGGGCATCTGCCCGTGGCTGCGCTCCACGCGGGCCGGGCGCGGGCTCCACACGGGCACGGGGACGCGCGCCGCCTGTCCGCTCTTCAAACTCCACAGCCGGGGCGGCCGCTGCGATGGCCGGGGCAGCAGCCGGAAGTCGGGGCCCGGGCCCAGGGACTCGCACGAGGGCAAATCCATGGCGAGCTGAAACATGGCTATAAGTATCCAAGCATGGCTTCCTGCGGAGCAGCCCGGCCAGCGGATGGACATGGAACTGCGTGGAAAAGAGAGAGCAGTGTCAGGTGAGGGCTCTGGGGGCTCTGCCGCTGTCCCTCCCCCCCCCGCCCTCCCCCCACGACGGGGAAGCGCCCTCGGGGTAAAGAACGCTGACCCTCATTGCAAGAGGGGAACCGAAACCCTCCGTTAGGGGCTCTGCAGCCCTGCTCAAGAGCCGTCTCCTGAGCAGCATCTGAGAGGCTCGGCCCCCATGCACCTGCTCCCGGGATTCGGCTGCTGCGGCCTGCAGGGCACCTCTCTCCCCGGGAGCATGCAGCCCACGTGGCCGGCGGACAGCGACTGTGCACCGCACCGGAGAGAAACCGAGTCTCAAAACCCCCAGCTCAGCTGACAAGATGGCCTCAAAGACCTCCCGTTCCCCACTCGGTTTCTGCCCAGATCGGAACACGGAGACACGGAGAGGGCGCCAAGTAAGAGAACGGCAGAGCTGGGAGCTCGGTCCACCCCTCGGGTCACACAAGTTACAGACCCAGGGTGGGTGTCCCTGAGCACACATCCTCCCCTTTCCGAGGCCTGGAGGCAGGGGCACTCGCAGTGGGGGGCGGGGGGCGGGGCTCACAGGACTTCACAGGGGGCATGGAGGCCGGGCATCTACTGAGCACCCCCCGTGCTGTGGTCCCCCCATCCCCCCGCCCCCACCGCCACCATCTCAGGCAAACGTGCGTATGTTAAAGCAGCCTGTGGCCTCGGAGGCCATGCTCTGGAAAGCTTCCCTCTGGAATTGGTTCAGGAAAACGAGATCTGCTGTGGATGAGCCGAGGTTTATCGATGCGCCAAGTCTGCCCAAGTGCTGCTCTGTTGACATTTCGGCTTCCCGTTTACCTTCAGCACAGGTGCCCTTTGAAACCTCACCGCCCGCCCCCTCGGCCCCAGGAAGGCTGGAGGAAGGGCAAACCCCACACCGCCGGGGACAGCAGGTGGGGCAGCAGGGACAGGAAGCCAGGCGGGTGCTCGGGCAACGTGAGCATCGAGAGCACGGAGGACAGACCCACGCGGAGGCTCTGGGGGCCCCGGGCCCTCGCCCCCTCCCCCACCAGCTCGGACAGCTGAGGGCTGGCCACAGGCACCTCTGTACTAGTCACCAGCGTCAGTGCTCGTCACCAGCGTCACGTGTGAAACTGACACGGATCCAGAACTGTCGTGACTGCTGGGGGTGGGGGCGGGGGCATCTGGGCGCTAAGACTCCAGCCTGAGGACCTGGTCAAGCCCAGCCCGGAGACAGTGGCTTGGGGCTTCCTGCGGGAGGCTCTGTGGACTTTAAAGGAAATAAATGAGTGAGCATCGTGCCGTGCGTGGGTCATGTGTGCATGCGTGTGTGCATGAGACTGTGTCTCAGGACTTCGTATCGGTGTGTGTGAGCACTGACGGGGGACAGCATGCCAGTTGATGTGTGACCGGAAGGTACCTGTGGGTGTGAGTGTGTCAGCGAGTGTGCACGAGTGTGAGTCTATGGGGGGGCGTCTGTGTGCCCATCGGTCACATATGTGTGCGTGTGCGTGCAGGTGCAGCCAGTGTGGGGTCTACACATGTCAGAGGGCGTGTGAGTGTGCCTGGGTGTGTGCGTGTGTGCGGCTGAGTGGGGGTCCGCACGTGTCAGGAAGCGTGTGCGTGTCTGTGTGAGTCCCCCCTCGCTCTGCACTCACCCCACGTGCCTGGGGCCGCCTCCTCTCTCGTGGGCACTCAGCACGTGCAGCTCCCTGCCCGTCATCAGGAAGTTGAAAGGAACTTGTATTAATGAGCGCTAATTACCGAAGGGGACTCATCCCCAAATAAAAAGGCCCCAGTATTTTAATCAGAATGAAGGTGCTTTGCTGCAGAAATTAGGGATCGCTCATTATGCTAATGCCTCCGCGCTGAGCTTCTGCCCGCGTGCAAGTTCTCTGCACAGCCAGCCAAGCTCCATGCAGGGACCAGGGCCCCTGTCACCGTGCACAGAAATTTAGGTCAGCGTGAGACACCCCAGCACAGGGGACACAGCTCCTCTGTGGCCACAGGTGACGCAGTGAGGATGGATGCTTCAGACCCTCTGCTTCCCCCACCACTCTGCACATTTGGATGGGAGTCCACCTCCCAGGGACATGGGGCACTTCTTCAAGCAAAAATGGTATCTCAGCCCAGAAGGCCTCACAGTCCCTACGAGGCCACACCAGGCCCCACCAGGCCCCACCAGCCCCCTCCGGCCATCACCAAGTAAGATCAGGCCCCTCCAGCCTCACCAGGCAATATCGGTCCCCTCAGGTCCCACCAGGCAATTCCAGGTACCATCAGACCTCCACAGGCCTCAGCAGGCACGCCCAGGCCTCACCAGGCCCTGGCAGTCACCCCTGGGCCCCAGCAGGCGCCCCCAGGCCCCGGCAGTCAGTCCCGGGTCCCGGCAGGCACCCCCAGGCCTCACCAGGCCCAGGCAGGCACCCTTAGACCCGGCAGGCAGACTGAACGAAGAGCAGCCATGGAAGCAGCCGTGTGCCGTCAGTACCTGGAGAAATATCGCCCCAGGAAATTAAAACCACTGCACCTAAGCCTGTGCCTGCTCGTCTGCCCTGGCATAACTTCACACACAGGATATTTCTGCCATTTTTCACCAATCATGAGCTGTAATTGGTTACCATAGAAACCCCCTCATTTCCACGCCACCCAGCTGTTATGCAGAAAAACCAACGAAGGCAATGGCAGGGAGCTTGCTTTGTTTCTCCTCTTCGAGTCTGAAGGCGGTGGACTAGTCCAGAGAGGGGACATCAGGAGGGCAGGTCCCGAGTCAGGACAGACAGACTCTCCTCCCGCCGGCAGCCAAGACACGCCGGGCTGGGATCAGGGGCAGAGAGACCCCTCCCGTGGGGAGGTCAGGGGCCAATGCTGTGGCCTGCAGAGATCCCCCGTCTCTCTACAGCGGTTAAAGGTCAGGCCCTCTGCTCTGCCACCAGGGCCGGCTGGCCCACACCTTCATGGTCCTGCGGCTACTGCTGCGTCCTGGTGTCAGGACTCACGAGGCGCAGCACGGGACCCCTCTCGTCACCCTCCCAGCGTGCCCAGACCGGACCCGGGAGCACTCGGCCCTCCGACCCCGTCCACACAGGGCTGCGAGGCCCCGTTCTGCTCAGGGCCCTCTGGCCCTAGAGCCGTCAGCCGCTGTCCATGGTGGCAGAGAGCCCCTCACACGTGCAGGAGGGAAGCCGTGGCTGCCACCACCACCAGCGGCTGTCAGAGCGCCACGGGACACACCAAGGAGGCCAGGCCACGTGCAGACCTCCAGGGCACCCTCAGGCCCCCTGGGAACACGCCCTCGCTCTGCGGCCACAAGGACATCCACGGGTGCCGCGACAGGTCCTGTGTCCCGCCACGGAAGGAGGCGGGAGACAGGCGCTCTCTCGAGCGGTTGGGGGGGAACGTAAGATGGCGCGACCACAAAACAGCTCAGCGGCTCCGCCAAGACTTGGTTACCAGCCGACCCTGCGCTTTCTATGCTGGGGACAAACATAAGTCCATGTGCACGAACGTTCATGGCAGCGTCGTCCGCCCTAGCAGGGAGCAGAAATGACCCAGGTGTGTGTCAGGCGGATGGATGGTGTGATACACACACTCCGCCCCGGGGGACGCTCTCCAGCCCGTAAACGGGAAGCGGGCTGCCACAGGCTGCAGCGGGGACGGGGCCCGCACACGTCACAGGAGGAGAAGCCGGTCACATCAAGCTACACGTCCTTCGCTTCCACTCCCGCTGAAGACCCAGGCCCGGCCGGTGAATCCAGAGACAGAAAGCAGATTTCTGGATGCCAGGGGCTGGGCGGGGGGCGGGGAGGACTGCTAATGGTTGTAGGGTTTCTCTTAGGGGGGATAAGAATGTTCTGGAATGAATAGTGCTGATGCCTGCATAACCTTGTGAATACATGAAAACCACTGAGTTTAGGGCATGTAAATCACGTGCCTGCGTCCGAGGTGGGGGGGACCAGCCTGGGGTGGGCACGGCGTGCTGACTGGGCTTGGATCCTACCAGGTGGGAGGGAGGAAGGGGTGGGAGGCGGGGTCCAGGGGGAGCCAGCGTCTGAGCATGGTGCAGAGTGTGCGTTCGAGATCTTTCAGGCTTGTGCACGGTCCTCGCAGGGTCCTGGGCTCCTCGGAGTGCCCAGCTGCCCAGCCCATCGCCCCACGGCCCACGCACGGCCCCGTCCCAGCCCCACCTCTGGCTGGTCAAGGCCACATCACAGCCACGGCTCCATCCACCTTAGTTTCTGGTTTGTAGCTTTTCCTGCTTCTCCCCCTTTTACATTTTTATTGAAATCCTTTTTTTCCCCCTGAGAACAGGTTCATATGATTCAACGGCTTGAGACTAAGTTCACTGCCTTCTGTGTTTTCTTCACAGAAGAACTGCTGTTGATTAAGGGACACAAAGACTTACTTGTCTTGTGGTTAAGGTCACACTTGTCCCCAGGGGGCTGGCGGGAGGCTGTGTCTGACGTGCAAGAGCCCTGGGGTGCTGAGACTCTGGGCGACGTGGGGAGCTCACACTGGAGCCCGGAGACCACGCGGCCCACAGGCTGCCCGGAAATCTTGCCACAGTAGGTGACGAGCGCCCCCACCCAGCCCCAGCGCTAAATCACCGAGGGTTACCCCTGCCCGCAGTGTATCCGCTCTCAGGCTTGTCATCAGCTGGCCTGGGGCACTGGTGATTCTGTCTGATGGACGGTTGGCTCACAGCCATCTGGGATAGTGACTTCCTTAGCTGTGTCCCATTCCGCTTCCTCCAGCTATGAAACGCGGGAGTTTTGAGGAGTTTACAAGGAGCGGGTGTCCCCCAATAGTGTGCGCTGTGCTTAGTGACCCGCTTCCCAAAATTAGCCCATGGAAAGGGGAGGGAAGTCACTTTTCAGTGGAGACACCTGGCACCCATGACTGTGGCCAGTGTCAAGGTCATATGCGCGGTGGTGAGTCACGGTGACAGCAGGCACTCCTGACGTGACGTGGCGGGGAGGGCACTGCCCCTCCTCCCACCCGACCGCGAGAAAACCAACCACACAAATCCCCATGAGGGACACTGGGCAGAAGACCTGGCCAGTCCTCTCCCACGCTGTCAAGGTCATCAAACACTAGGAAAGTCGGAAAAACCGTCACCACCGAGAGGAGCTCAGGAGACGTGACACCTAAATGTCATGCGGTGCCCTGAGTGGGATCCTGGAGAAGGAAAGGAAGTCGGCGAAAAGCTAGGGAAATCCGGATGAGGCGCAGGCTTCCACGGACAGTTTGGGGAGGACACGTGTGCCACAGTGACGTGAGACTGAAGGCGAGGGGTGTCTGGGAGCCGAGGACACCGGGTTTCCATCGGCTTGTTCGTCAGTTTCTGCAAATCCGCAGGCAGAGTTCCTGCAGACGCAAACCACCAAGGGAGGCAGGGCGGGACTAGGTCTGGATGTGGGGGTCGTGGGGGGGTGAAGGGACCTCAGCAGGGGCTCCCAGGGGAAGGGACGCCCACCTGGAGGTGGGTCTCAGGGTGGGAGCACCCACAAAGGAGCACGGCCTTCCTCTGATCCTCCGGCAGGCAGGGAAACGTGCCTTCGGGTAGGAGCGAGATCCCGGGGACCCAGTGCGGAAAAGGTTCCCCGTCCCCCGTGGCTCCAAGTTCTCTGGCATGACCACCCTGCACAGAGGGGGCCAGCAGGCTGCCTCTCCTTCCCCTGCCCACCTGTGCCCTGCCTGCCAACAGGTGCAGCGCCTCCCGCCAGACCAGGAGCAGAGACCCGCCCCCCCCACTCCCCACTTGGGGCAGGGCGCCGCCGTCTCGGCTCAGGAAGAGAGCACACACTTCCTTCTGGAAGGCAGTCGCTGGCTCAATTTTCCCAATGAAAGAAAAGGGAGTCGTGACTCACTTGAATGGCTTCCCCACCTGATGTCATTAATGTCCTGTCAGAGCCACCCCTCGCTGGCTCTACCCCGTGACTTACTATGATTAAGAGCGTCCCTCTCTTTCAGGAAAGGTGCTCTGGGTCTCCTACAAGGCTTTCATCTTCAATGGCCCCACGGATGTCAGGCACACATGTGATACTTGATTCACGGGGAAGGAGCGGCGTAGGAACCATTCATCCGCGTGGGACAGAGACCTCGGGAATGACACCAAGCGTCTGGTGACTGGCCCACCCCAGGGCAGGGGGGCCAGCTGCGGATTCTGGGGTCCCTCGGCGCCCACCCCTACAGGAGTGGGTTTGCTCCTGGGTCTTACCCTGGGTGGGCCAGGGCGGGTGCGTCCTGCCTGCTCCAGGGGTAGCCTGGGGCCAAGACCTTGCACAGACGGTGGACTCCCTCCAGTGTGGCCTCCACCCAGGGCAGGGCAGGGGCGTGGCGAGGTGAGCGCCAGAGGAATGTGAGCGTGCCCCAGGGCGCCTGCATCTCGGGACGTCCTGGCTGGAACAGGGCCAGTCCTCTGCCCCCGCCCACCCCACACTCGGACACTGAGCCCGTCGGTGCTGGGGACGCGAGCGGGAAGGGTCCCCAGTCAGGCCCGTGTGAGAAGCGGTGGGAAGGACGTGAGACTGGCCTCTTGATGGAGCCCGTCTCCTGAAGCCCCTGGGGGGAGGCGCGCGGGCGCCAGGCTACGGAGCACCAGTCTCACCCCGGACAATCAGTACCCGCGTGAGGCCCACAGGAGACCCGCACACGAAGGGCCACACGAGCTGGCATCAGACCTGGACTCGGGGTCCAGGACTCTGGGACTTAGGGTCCCAA